CAGCGTGGACTGGGTCCTCGACGTCGCCGCACTTGGCCTTCAGGCCTTCAAATTGCTGGGGTGGCAATGATCGCCCTGTGGTGGGCTGGCTGGTGCCGTTGGCGCCGCGGATCCTGGTGGATCGCCCGCCCTTTTGAGGCCGTGTAGTGTGATCCCTTTGGTATATGGAACGGGCGGGAGGGAGGTCAGGGTGGTCCCTCCCTAGGCCAACTGGCCCGCAGTAGCCAACGGTCATGCTGGATAACTCGGGATGCCAATGCCCGAGAACTGAGACCGTGCTGTGGCCACGGTGGTGGCAGAGGTTGTGGCGCCATTGTTGCTCATGAAACTTGCGCTGGTAGCTTGGGCCGCGAAGCTCGGTGCTTTGCTCGGCGATGGGAACGGAGGAGGAGGAATCCGCCGACCCTGTCGGCGTGTGTGAGGGGCTTGTCCGTTCAAGTCGTCATCTCCGTCATTCGTTGGTCGTCATCTCTGTCGTCCCCTTTCCCTGCCTCCCCCCTTTCCCTGGGCTCGTCGAAGCTCTCCCCTTTCCCGGACCTCCTCAGTGCGCAAGCCAAAACGAAAACAAGCAACGTCGTAATTGAGTCGAAGGGAAGCCCCTTCCCTTCGATCCCTCCCCCGCCCAGGGGGGGTGGAGGGGGGGGTCCCGGGGGCGGGGTCAAACGCCCCGGGGGGGCGGGGGTCAGATACGACGCCCCCCCTGGGAGTCCTGGAGCACCAAAAACCCCAAGACGGGCCAAGAGTGCCCCAAGAGGCCCCAGAGACAGTCCAAGAGAACCCCGAATCGCCAAACATCTGTCGAAGACGCCTTGATGGCCTCCAGACGACCGAAGAGGCCTGCAAAGCGCCCCTAAGAGGCCTCCAGGAGCTTTCTCACGAGAGCCCCAAGAGGCAAAATTCATGGATTTCCCATACGTTTTTGAAAGATGTTGACGTTCTTGCCTCTTCCGCTTCCCGACGCGCCAAGACGGCCCAAGAGGCCCCCTAGATCGCCCCGAGACAGCCCAAGAGGCCCCCCTAACGGCCGAAGAGGGCCCAAGACGGCCCAAGACGCCTCCAAGACGGCCCAAGAGGCCCCCAAGACGGCTCCAGGAGAGTGCCCCGACGGGGGACCCGAACGGACATTTCGAGCTCTCAGCCCCAAGAGGCCCCCAAGAGGCCCCGAAGAAGCCCCAAGAGGCTCCAGGAGGCTCCCAAGGGGCCCCCAAACTGCCCCAAGACAGCCCAGGAGAGCCCCAAATTGCCCAAGGGGCCTCCAAGAGTGCCTCGAGACGGCGCAAGAGGAGCCCTGGACGGCCCAAGACGGCCCCAGGAGAGCCACAGGCTGTCCCAAGAAAGCCTCTGGCCTCCTCCTCCTCCTCCTGCTCCTCCTCCTGCTCCTCCTCCTCCCCCTCCTCCTCCTCCTCCTCCTCCTCCTCCTCCTCCCACCCCCCTCTGCTCCCCCTCCTCCTGCTCTCCTCTGCCTCCTTCTCCTCCTCTTGCTTCTCCTCCACATCCTTCTCCCCCCTCCTCCTCTCTCATCCACCTCCTCCCACCCTGCCCCCCCCTCATGTTCATCTTCGTCACTCTCGGGTCGGCGTGCAAGGCGTAAGGTCTTCGCATAGGAGTGCGCCGAAACGGGGAGAGGATGAGGAGGAGAAGGAGGAGGAGGGAGGAGAAGAGGAGAGGAGGAGGGATGATGAGCGGGAACATTATTAAGAAGGAGGAGGCCGGGAGGAGGAGGAGCAGGAGGAGGAGGAGTATGATGCTGATGATGATGCTGATGATGAAGAGGAGGAGGCGGAGGAGGAGGAGCAGGAGGAGGAGGAGTATGATGCTGATGATGATGCTGATGATGATGCTGATGATGATGCTGATGATGATGATGATGATGATGATGATGATGATGATGATGATGATGATGATGGTGGTGGTGGTGGTCACGATGATGATGATGCTGCTGATGATGAGGAGGAGGGGGAGAAGGAGGAGGAGGAAGCTGAGAGGAGGGGGAGGAGGAGGACGCGGCAGGAATAAGGAGGACGAGCAGCGGCAGCAACCATGAAAGCAGCAAGAACCCGTGGGGTCCGCGAGGGCAACAAGCGGAAGAGGAGGAAGAGCGGGAGGAACGCGGAGGACGACAGTGACGAAGCCGAGGACAGGGAGGAACACATGGAGCGTTCAGGCCGATTTCGGATGACAACTAACTATTACCCTGGCGACGTACCCAACCCCTGCGCAATGTGGGGCATGAGTAGCTTGGGAGACGTTATACGGAGGTGATGACGTGACATGGGCGCATACACGTCTGCGAGCGGCATTCGTAAGGCTCGCAACCCCCAAACATTGCGAGGTCCCGCTCAGATCTGCGTGGTGCCTCACTCCGCTGGACCCGCTACCGCTCAGCTCCGCGCGGTGCCTCACCCCGCTGGACCCACCAGCAGCCCTCGAATGTGGCGACAATTTCGCAGACCGCAGCTCCCCAGGGACGGCGAGCTACCGCTCAGATCCGCGCGGTGCCTCACTCCGCTGGACCCACCAACAACCATCGAAAATAACGACAATGTTGCAAACCGCAACCCCCCCAAGGACGGCGAGCTACCGCTCAGATCCGCGCGGTGCAACACCCCACTTGGTCCACCAGCAGCCCTCGAGCATGGCGAGAATTTGGCAGATCGTTGCCCCACCAGGGACAGCGAACCACCGCTCAGATCCAAGCGGTGCCTCACCCCGCTGGACCCACCAGCAGCCCTCGACAGTGTGACATTTTCGCTGATCGCAGCCCCCCAGGGACGGCGAGCTGGCGCCTAGATCAGCGCGGTGCTTCACTCCGCTGGACCCACCAGCAGCCCTCGAAAACGGCGACACGTTCGCAGATCGCAGCCCCCCAGGGACGGCGAACTACCGCTCAGACCCGCGCGGTGCCTCACTCCGCTGGACTCACCAGTAACCCTCGAAAGTGGCGACAAGTTTGCACATCGCATCCCCCCGAGGACGGCGAACTACCGCTCAGCTCCGCGCGGTGCCCCACTCCGCTGGACCCACCAGCAGCCCTCGAAAATTGCGACAATTTCGCTGATCGCAACCTCCCAAGGGCGGCGAACCACTGCTCAGATCCGCGCGGGCGGTGCCTCACTCCGCTGGACCCACCAGCAACCCTCGAAAATGGGAACAATTTTGCATATCGCAGCCCCCCAGGGACGGCGAACTACCGCTCAGATCCGCGCGGTGCCCCACTCTGCTGGACCCACCAGCAGCCCTCGAACGTGGCAACAATTTCGCAGACTGCAGACCCCCAGGGACGGCGAGCTACCGCTCAGATCCGCGCGGTGCCCCACTCTGCTGGACCCACCAGCAGCCCTCGAACGTGGCAACAATTTCGCAGACCGCAACCCCCCCAGGGACGGCGAACTACCGCTCACGCTCAGGTCCGCGCGGTGCCTCACTCCGCTGGACCCACCAGCAACCCTCGAAAGTGGCGACAATTTCGCAGATCGCAGCACAGCCCGCCGTACCGCAGGCAAGATGCACACACAAGAGGTACGCACAAGGCAAGAGGAGACAAGAGGGAGGCGGCGAAGAGAGGGCAGGAGGAAGCAGGAGGCGGCAGGCGGGAGGAGGCGAGAGGAGGGAGACCCGACCGCGGTGCTCTATTCAAAACGAATACCCAATCAAGGAGGGCTGGGAAATAGTAAAGCAAATATTCCAAAATGATCAAAGTAGTCGAACAATCGTCCCCGCATTATTGTTGGACTATTTTTGAACATCCCTCCTGTAGAGGGACAGACCCGACTTCATATTACGATGAGGTCGCGACGAGGAGGAAAAGGAAGGGGGAGGAGGTCGGGAGGGGGGAGGGAGGGAGACATGTGGTTGTTGCTGTTTTTTTTGGAGGGATTTTTGAAGGGGCGCTGGGACACACAAACAAATGTACACAAAGAACGAGGGTGGGCGCGAAATCCCCGCCGACCGTGGTTTATTATCTAAGAAAGATACACCTAGGTTCATACTGTTTAGATGATACCCCCATTGGATTATTGGCCTGTGGATGGATCGGGCACCCCCCCTTCCCCAGATCATTTTTCATTCCGGATAAAGCATCTGGGGTCGATATTCCGACATAATGAACCAGGGTTGATCCCAGTCCAATCTCCTTCTCAGGACCCCCCCCCTCCGCCGGATCATGATCATTTCGGAATCATAAAATTGAGTCTATTTATTCCCAGAACATTGCGGACCCCAGTATAATGTTCTAGAGATAGCGGACTAGGGTGAATATTCTAACATACTGAATCCCAGTTTGGAGGTGCGGGGCTGGGGGAACATAATAGTGATACTCATCCCGGAATCATGAATCCGGATTCAGAATATCCGCCTCTGGCTCAGGCGACGCCCCTCAGCCTCCATCATTATCATTCCGGAATAATAAACCAGGGTTCGTTATACCCGAGACATTATGAACTCCAAACGATATTCCCATAACATTATAAACCCACATTCATATCTTTTTGGGGTAATGCTCCGGGGGAACATTATATGAACCCACATCAATATGTCCCGGAACATTACAACCAAAATTCATAATGTTCCGGGGGGGGAACATTATGAACCCTGGTAAATAAAGCCGGAACATGATAAACCCAGGTTAACATCTTTTTGGGGTTGGTTCTGCCAAGAACAGGGTTCCCCATCTTTTCTGGGTTTTTGTCTTCCCCCCACTTCCTATATTTTCTCATATTTTCCTGGGAGTCGACGAGTCATTGTGTCTGTGTGTTTTTCCCCTCTTGAATTTTGAGGGAGGGAGGGAAAGAAATTCTCAGCCAGCCCTGAGAGGGAGCGGACAGGGGAAGATGAGAACTTGTTGCTCCTCGAACGGGTAACGAGCCCTGCTGGGGTCCAGGTTGAGGAAGACAAGCACAGGAAGAAAGGGATGGAGGAAAGAAAGAAGGAGTGAGGGATGGAGGGAGGAGGAGGGAGGAGGAAACAGGGGGAGGGAGAAAAAGGGGGGAGGAGGCACCCGCCTGCCAGGCCGGGTGTACGCCCTCCGCATCGCCATGTAGAAGCCGTTGACGACGAAGAGGTCCTGGATCCTGCCGCAATAGAACCTGCGAGCTGGACAAGGGGGGACGGATCCCTCTTCGCGAGCGGCCGCGCCCTCGTGGTCCGAATTCCGGGGCGCGACCCCGCGGACCCGCGGTGGCGCAAACGCGGCTCCCGTGAGGCCTCTGCAAAAGACGCCCCGTGTCCGCAGAGTCGCGGCCCGCGGGGCCGCGGATGCGGATGCGCTTCTTCGCCCACGAGCGCCTCCCTGCCCGCCTCCACAGAGTACGCCCAGCACGGCCGATGAAAGCCGCCAGCCGCCCCGCGGAGAGAGAGGGGGGGCGAGTTGAGGGGGGGACAGATCCAGAGTTGACGAACATTGCAGGGGCAAGCACGAGAGAGATGACGCTCTGATACTTCTGGAAAGACAGAACGGGTCACCCAAGCGTCACACCGTGTCTCTCGAAGGGCAGGCCGCCAGGCAGGAGGGAGGAGATGTATGCTCTCTCAAGGTATATCGGCCAATCTGTGCGAGATCGTCGCTTCTCTGAGGGACCACTCGCCAGTCGTCTTATGAGCAGGACGACAAATCGATCAGGAAGAAGAGATGGAGCTACGTAATGAAGAAGGCAACGTTGAGGAGGAAGACCTTCACAAGGGAAATTCGAATGACAAGCTTGATGCTCTCGAAGATCCGCTTGGGCTTGGAGGAAAAGGACGGCGAAGACCAGACCTGGGAAATCCTGCAGCAGCCTCGCGATGGAAGGCAACAAACGCTGGTGCTTCCCAGAAAGCCGGCCAAGGAATGCCACGGTGAGCCCGTACCGCCGATAGCTGCCGCGCATCAAATATACATATGCTGGCTTGGGCAATCTGGGCCAAACGAACAACAACCGGCGTCTGATGGGAGGTCCGCCCCGTCGTACCAGATTGCACCATGCCGCGTCTGCAAGGCATCAAGATGGACTGCGGGGCAGTTTTCAATACATGGGGTTTAAAAAATAGAGGACTTTCATACCTGATTAATGTATGAGTAAATTTATGCATGAACTCATCGTTATTCTTAATAATAAATCCTTGCATTTTTTAATACATGATCCGCACGCGGAGCATGTATGTATTCAAAACCCTCGCGCGCAGCCTGAGACTCGGCTCCCTGGAGATGGGCCCGGACACGTCGGAAGCGGAAAAGAGGGGGGTGTCCAAGAGGGGGGGCTGCAAATCATGACCGGCGGCATGTGCGCGGCCCAGCGGGGGGGCCAGGGACGTAATGAAATATCAAGAGGCGCTATAAAATCTGGGGAAATATCATGGCCCAACGCCATGATATCCACCCCCCTCTAGTCATCACCCCCCTCTTGTCCGCCCCCGAACACGGGGACTGGCCCACACAGTTCCGCCGAGCCCCGCCTGCCGGGGATGGAAGCGGCGCGTGAGACAGTGGGCTGCGCCCCTGCCTCTTCCCCCGTCCCCCCCCCTGTGGAATCAAAAAACGGACCTCCCCGCAACAGAAGGAGTCCTCAGCAGATGGTCTCAGAGAGGAATCCATCTGTAATCCGCAAGAGAAGGAGAATCCCTACCACCCAGCGCCATCGCAGGAAGAACGACAGAAATTTGCAGGCAGACCGAAAGAAAGGACAAGGAAGACACCGAAAGCAACACATCGTTGAAGAGAAACAAATGTTGACCTTACCCCCCCCCCCTGGGGCCCAAGATCCCGTCAGGCCACCTCCAGGGCCTCGGCTCGTGGGAGGGTCGGCCCCCCCGACGAAGGCTCCCGGAGGGCAGCCCCGTGGCCGCGGAGCCTCCGCATCCGCCCTCCGCTGCCTCCAAGACGCCCAGAAGGCAGCCTCCGAGACGGCTCCACCAAGACTCCACGGAGAGCACCCGAGATCGCGCCTGGACGGCTCGCGAGGCTCCCGAGGCGACCCAAGGGAAGGCCCCGAGCCGACCCCCGAGAGGGGCCTCCAGAGACAAGAGCAGCGTGATCTCCCTCTACATGCGCTGTTCAAGGATTCGCCCATGTACGACGGAAGGCGCCCCGAGGCGGGGCCAAAGCCAGCTGCACGCAGCCGCGTTCGCAACCACCTGTGAGTATCGTTTAGCCAATCCCCATCCCCAGCGGCGTGGCCTGGGCCCCGCTGGCCGATATTCCCCCCCCTAGATGGGGATATAGGCCGTCCCCCCTTTGGGTTTCGAGGGGTGTATCCCCAACTGGGGTGGTAATTTGGTGGGGGTCTCGAAGGGGATGAGGGTGGGGATGGGGATTGGTAAGACGATACTGACTTTCGCAACCACCTCTTTCCCAATTCCCCCCTCGTCCGCCCCGAAGAGTCGGCGGCGCGCCGAGGGGGGGGAAGCGAGCGAAATCGAGACGAAACATCGGCGATCCAAGTGGATCGGATCGGCGGAACTCGGCAGCCAAGTCGGGGGAAGTCGAGTCGGCGGAGATCGGCAGGCTCAGAGGCCTTCACTAAGGAATCGGATCCCAAATCGAAATCCCAAGTCGGATCGAATCGGAATCGGAATCCACCGTAGTCTTAGGTCGGGCGTGTCCCCCTACAGGCGGACTCTGGACGATTCAACAATAAGAAAAAACCATATCGCCAAGCAATGGTTCAACAAATCGTCCCCTGACTATTGTTGCACTACCTTCGAATCTTCCTCCTGTGGAAGGGCAGGCCCGACTTCATCGCAATCGAGCCGCACCGAATCGGAGGAACCGAGACGAGCCCTGCCTCTGCCCTCCCCCCCGAGGGGGGGGCGCGCCGCCGAGGGCGGGGGGGAGGGCCCCCCGGAGGGGAGCACCCGCCGCCGAACTTGACCTTGCCCTCGTTGAGCTTCAGAGGCGACCACTCGTGGTCCAGCTGCTCCTCGCCGGGCCTCCTCCTCCTCCTCTTCTTCCTCCTCCTCCTCCTCGCCTTCCTCGCCTTCCTCGCCTTCCTCGCCTTCCTCGTCCTCTTCTTCCTCCTCCTCCTCCTCCTCCTCCTCCTCCTCCTCCTCCCTCTCGCGGCCTCGGGGGTCCCGAGTCCGAGGGTACCCCCGGGGCCAGGCGGGCGACGCACCCCCGCGCCCGCGCTCGCCCGCGCCCGCGCTCGCCCGCGCTCCTCCTCCTCTGCCTCCACCTTTTTCTTTCTCCTCCTCCCGCTTCCTCCTCCTCCTCCTCCTCCTCCTCCTCCTCCTCCTCCTCCTCCTCCTCCTCCTCCTCCTCCCCCTCGCGTTCCTCCTCCTCCTCCTCCCCCCGCACCATGATGAGGGGGTCTTCAACGGCGACGGCGGTTTGGAGTTCGGCTGCGACTCGACTCTCCGAGCGTCAGCTCCACTCTCTCTGTCTTAGTGCTCTCCGTGTGGAGGGAAGGGTCCCACCTTGGTCCTTTGGTGAAGCCTTGGGCTCAGGGCCATGCAAAGGGGAGCCCACATAAGCGCATAGGTGGTCCAGAACGTTGAGGCTGCGAGGCATTAGGACGCGATTTCTGGTCTGGGTCCATCGGATGCCTGTCTTGGAACTGCCCGCAGCATTCTTCTGAGGCCCAGGCCCTGGTCCCAAGTGGTCGACCCTGCCTGGGCTTCTCTCCTGTCCCTGGTCGGGATCGGGGCCACGTCACCCTCGGCAGGGTATACCTAAGTCCGTTACACGGCGACTTCAATGTGTTGCAGTTTCCGCCAACTTTCGTCATGGATCTAGCCCGTGAGGCTGCGTGGGCAGGCCCATGTAGCGTCATATCGTCACTTGAAGGGCGCCTGGATCTCGCCTCTCCAGTGGGCCCCTGCCTCGGCTGTCCTAGACAAACTGCACACGCTGGGTTGGACGGCGAAGATGTGCGCCGCTGTCAGATCATTGATCGGTGAAGCCCCCAAGAGAGCCCAAAGAGAGGGCCCCGGTGGGGGGAAACCGAGCTGGCCTCCACAATATATTTTCCTACAGGATGGCCCCCAAGATCCCGAGCATGCCCCCGAGGAGGAGGAGGAGGAGGAGGAGGAGGAGGAGGAGGAGGAGGAGGAGGAGGAGGAGGAGGAAGAGGAGGAGGAGGAGGAGGAGGAGGAGGAGTAGGAGGAGGAGGAGAGGCGGGAGGAGGAGGATGAAGGAGGAGGAGGAGGAGGAGGAGGAGGAGGAGTGGAAGGAGGGAGTAGGTAGGAGGAGGAGGAGGAGGAGGAGGAGGAGGAGGCCCCCAGAGGACCCCGAGAGGCCCCCGAGAGGCACCAGAGACGAACGGCCCTCGAGAGGCCCCCGGGGAAGCTCCAGCATGCCTTTTCGCGCTGTGCGGCTGCCCGGGCGCGGCGCCGGGGCGTGCCGCGGGCAGCTTGGGGTATGTTCTGCCAGACGGCTTGCCACGTGCTTCGGTGAACTGCTTTGTCGCTGCACTGTACACCCTGCGAAATGCTTTAGAGATCATGGGTTAAGAAATTCATAGTCTCAGAGCTTGACTAAAAACCCAAAATTTCTATTAAAATCTTAGGATTTACGTTGAAACGTTAAGAATAATCGAGACCCTGGCCGAAAATTTCAGTTTTCTTAAGCATCGCCTGAGGTGTAGAGGCCAGCCCACAAGAAACCTTCCACCGGAAACCCCACCCTGAGACCCCAGGGCGTCCATCGATGTTTGGTGTGGGGACGTCAGGCCTTCCACAGCAGAACCATCGAAACCCAAGAAACCCAGGGCACCCTGAAGGCGAGCAGGGTGTTTCTTCGCATGGGAAGGACACTGGGTATGGTTCGCGAAGGCTCTCCCTGCTGGGTGCTTTCGGGCCGCATGCTCGTGGACTCAAGTCTTCAACACGGCCCACGAGGCCCTCAGCAGGGCAAGATGGTCAGTCGTTGCAGGAACTAGTTCGCGCTGGCCAAGTGGTTGCCACAAGTTACGGAGCTGTGCCATTACAGTTCGCCCCGTCCCAGAGTGCTAGAGACGGAGAGGGCTATGCGTCGCACGTGCGGGGCAGATTCTCGGACTGGGATCCCGACGCGCCTTTAATTGTCTTATGTGGGTGTGCGAGCTGTTTCTTGCGCCACGAATGCGGGGGGGGATTCTTCCTAAAGACAACCCTCGCCAGAACTCGTCGAAGAGATGATGGGCTGGCATTGGCCAGAAAGCGTCGTTGTTCGAAGCCAAGGCCCATTATTCCAGAAAGTGCTGGTCCGTGGCTGGGTATATCAAACCTGGCAGAGATTGTGCACTGTGGCACGGGATGGCTGAAGCCTTGTTTGGCTCCCTGGAACAAGCCGGTTCCCAGGAATAGCAGGACGGCGGACGTCGAATTCGAGCAGGAGCTTTCGCAAGCTCTGTTACGCACGCCCCTGCCAGGAGGCGGAGGCAAGGCCGTTCGAGCAGGGTCCCAAAGCCAAGGCGTCGTCGGGGCCCTCTGTTCTTTCGCGCGGGCCCTCCGCTGCTCCTCCTCCGCCTCCGCATCCTGCTGACGCTGGTACATGTGTCCAGGTCGACGGGGTCTATGGGGTCCTCCATGAGCGCGCTCCATTGTCCAGGCCTCGGACCAAGCTTAGACGGGTGAAGCCTTCGCCGACATGCTGGGTCGCACGCATTGTGGAGCCTCTGCGCATCAGCATGCGCGAGGTAACTTGGTGTCCAAGTAATTATCGTGGCCGTGCACACCAGAGTGACACGGCCGACCCAGCGTTCGCGTTCACGGCGTGTTTTTTTTTTTGTTCCCTGGCCGCGATGCCAGAAAAAAGGCACCACTTGTCCTGCCTGTGGGCCGTCGGACGCGATCAAAAGCCGATTGGGGGTCCCTGTTGGTCAGTGCGTCGGAGGGCGCAGCGGGTCTCGGGAACCCTGATATCGCGATAGCGACGCTGCCAGGCGGTCGGCTGCAGCCCCAAAGGCCACGCCCCTGACCTCAGCTGGTGGCGCAGTTGCCCGCCTTCACCTGATCGCCAGAACTGCACGGCCTTGCTTCTGCAGAGAAGCTGGTGGTTTGGGAGGGATGCAAGCGTCGAAGCACATGGGATGAGGAGAATCAAATGGGCCAGCCTCATCCTTTACTCTGCGCGTGAAGGGCCCTCGAACGGCCCGTTTCATAAGTACCCTCGGTACCTTCGTTCTACCTCCTCCTTCTCCTCCTCTTCCTCTTCCTCCTCCTCCTCCTCTTCCTCCTCCTCCTCCTCCTCCTCTTCCTCTTCCTCTTCCTCCTCCTCTTCCTCCTCCTTTTCCTCCTCCTCTTCCTCCTCTTCCTCCTCCTTCTCCTCCTCCTCTTCCTCCTCTTCCTCCTCCTTCTCCTGTTCCTCGTCGCCCGGCGGCGCGCGCAGGTCTCTTCCGCGGCGGGCGCACGGTCATCGGCAGCCAGAAAAACCGCCTTTCAAACAGGGCGGTTCCCCCACGGGTGGCCGGCCTGCCACAGACAACGGCCACTCCCAGGGTGGAGGGGTCTGCCGGCCATGCTGCATGCCCGGCAGATCCCCGCATCCGTGCCAGGCACCCTCTCAACGACGCCCCCTTCCGGCGTCAAACCAGCAACACCCTCTGTGCTTGTGTGCTTTCTCCTGTTCTGGATGCAGGGGCCTCTCGACCGAGCACCCCATGGGGCCCTCGCGGCGAACTGCAGGACAACAGCGCAGTCGCCCGCGCGCGCCCGCGCAGTCGCCCTGCGCTGGCCCGCCAGCCTCTCTCGGCCCGCTCGCCCCGCCCAGCCCCAGGGCAGCCGGGCGCCGCGGCAGCGCCTTGCCGCCGCGCGCCTATCGGCTCGGCGCCCGCGCGGCAGCCGCGCCGTGCCCGGCCGCCCCGGGCGCCGCGCCCGCCGCGGGCCCGCGACACGCAGCCCCGCCGCGCGGCGGAGCTGCCGAGCCAGCTCGCGGCGCAGCCGCGCAGCTGCGCAGCCGGCAGGCGCGCGCCCCATCCGCCGCCTCCTCCTCGCATGCCCCTGTTCCACGGAGGAGGGCGCCACTTGGCGGGCGCCGGGCACGAAAGCGTCACGGGGCCCCTCCTGCCCGCGGCTCTCTGGCTCTGCAGCGCCTCCTGTGCTGCATGGCCAGGCTCCTCACCCGGTTGCGCTGCCATGTTCTAACGCCCCCCTCGGTCAAATTTGGCCGCATGCGGCGACGGGTGCAGAGTTTATACACAGCGAATTGGGTAGAAACAACTGAACGATATAGGCGTATACAAATGTTTAGACAGCATATGATTGCGACGGTTCAATCAGAAACCATAAGACGCGTCGTAGCGGATCTAAATGTGTGAAATAGTAAGAAGCATAAGTGGCCAATGTAAAAGGCGGCTATGCTTTGGGCGTGAACGTGCATGGGCTTCCTAACGCGCGATGCACTATTGTAAAATGCCGCAACGCACCAAGTCACGCAGAATGGTCAACTGAACTCATCCCCCTCATTACCCTCCAATTCCTCTCCCGCCCTCCGCCTCACGGAGCACAGCGACATGAGACGGCCCCCGGACCCCTCCAGGGGCTCCAAAGCACCAGTTTTCCGAGCTGCGCCCAACCGTTGCGACGAGGGGACCCCGCCCTCCCCGTGATCCTCCTCTCCCCTCCCCCGCTCCCCCCTCCCCCGCCTCCTCCTCCGATTCTCCTCCCCCGCCTCCGCCTCCCCCGCCTCCCCCGCCTCCCTCGTTCCGCCTGCCCCGTCCCTTCTCCCCCCTTCTCCCCTCCCTCTTCCCTAGAAAACGCTGGGGGAGGCGAGGCTCCTCGGGGATCCCCCGGGCAGGTGGCCCGTGACCACCGTCCCGCGGCCCCGCCTCCCACCCTTCGGCTCGCTTCTCGTGGTGGACTTCTGGGGAAAGCCCGTAGCCGGACGGGATATTACCATGGTCCTCCTCCTTCCTCGCCTCCTCCTCCGCCTCCCTCGTTTGAAAAGGGACCGACCGTCCCGGCATTTCGATAGTCCTACCACGAAATGTTCTTAAAACCCGATCGTGCTCGAAAAACAAAACACACAACGTTCTTAGAACATAAGCCCGATGTGTTAAAACAAGACAGCCCCAGCCAGAAATGTTCTAAGAACATTTTGGGCAAACCACGAAAGGTTCTTAGAGCATTCTTTGGTGGGGCTATAGGCGAGCCAGGACGCTTCGCCACTGCCTGATCCTTCCTCGCCTCCTCCTCCGCCTCCCTCGTTCCGCCTGCCCCGCCTCCTCCCCCCCGAGGCCGGCGCCGCCAACGAAAAATCCCGTGCGGCGCGGCAACCCATATAGTTAAAGATATATATATATATATATATATATTTACTCAAGGATTCAGCCAGAACGTCCCGCTTGCTTCTCGTACCTCGAAGACGCTTCCCGTCATCCGTTAACGAAAAATCCCGTGCAGCGCGGCAACCCATATAGTTAAAGAAAAGATATATTTACTCAAGGATTCAGCCAGAACGTCCCGCTTGCTTGTCGTACCTCGAAGACGCTTCCCGTCATCCGCCAACGAGTTTCGGGATGGAGCCCGTACCCCTTAGTTAGAGAACCGCCCACGAGTTTCGGGATGGAGCCCGTACCCCTTAGTTAGAGAATCTCTCTCCCTCTCTATCTCTCTATGTCTCTCTCTTTCTCTGGCTTTAAGCCCCCAAAGCTTCAGCTTCAGCACGGCAGACCAGAACAGCAGACCCGCACGGCAGTCCAGCACAACACACCGACACGGCAGACGAGCACGGCAGTCCGGCACGGCAGACCAGCACGGCAGACCAGCACGGCAGCCCATAGGAACATAGCAGACCAGATCATGTCATTGACGCTGCTGTTGTTGGGGATGATCATGTTGCTGCTGATGGTGATGGTGATGCGTACGATGATGATAATGATGATGATGAGGAGGAGGATGATGATGATGAGTATGAGTATGAGTATGGTGATGATGATGGTGATGATGATGATGATGATGATGATGATGATGATGAGGAGGAGGAGGATGATGATGATGATGGACTTCTCGGGGTGTGCTTGGGAGATGTTGGGGTCCTCTGGAGAGCCTTTGGACTAGCAGTTTAAATCTGCGTAGCCGTTGTAACCCGACTCTCGTTTTCTTCATCGGTCTGACCGGTTTATCAGCTTACACGGCACAGCGCAGCAACACGACAGACGGCAGCAGAACGGCAGACCAGGAAGGCAGACCACAGGAGCACGGCAGACCAGAACGGCAGACCAGAACGGCAGACCGCAGGAGCACGGCAGAGCAGCACAGCTGACCACAGGAGAACGGCAGACCAGCACAGCGTTGTTGCAGCAGACGGTGCTGATACACTCTTAATTTATTGAACACGTCCCCAGCGAAATCGTAATGGTCGGCCGTATTGAGGGCACTCTGCGGGTCATCTTTGGGCCGATTTTGTTTTTGGGGGGCCGTACTGATGCCCTCAAAAACGATTCCAAGACGACGTTAGAATCATTGTTTGTTTGATGATTGTTCGGCCGTCTTGAGGGCACTCTTAGGGCATAGTCTGCCGTGCTCCTCGTCTTGGTCTGCCGTGCTCCTCGTCTTGGTCATCCTTTCCGTCGTCTTGAGGGCGCTCTTGGTGCCTGGTCTGCCGTGCTCCTCGTCTTGGTCTGCCGTGCTCCTCTCGGTTCCTGCGCGCGGTCTGCCGTGCTCCTTCGTCTTGGTCTGCCGTGCTCCTCTCGGTTCCTGCGCGCGGTCTGCCGTGCTCCTGTGGGGAGCACGGCAGACCACAGGAGCACGGCAGACCACACAGGAGCACGGCAGACCACACCTCGATTGTAGGAGGATGTCTCGAGCGAAATGGCCATTTTGGGGAACCTGACCGGACAAGAACGGGAAGCGCCGTTTTTATCCACCACGTGCGTCAGAGACCGTATTGGCGAGAACGTCAGAGAAACCCATAAACGCAACAGAACAGACTAAATGGTGGCCTGCCGCGCTGGTCTGTCGAGGTAGTCTGCTGCCCTGGCCACATCATGGCGTCGACACCGTGCTTTTCTCTCGGCCACGCGGGCCCCCACCCGTTGTCGCCCAGCCTACTTTTTCTGTTCCAGCCTGTCTTGTCTTTTGTTTGTCCGTCGTCGTCGTCGCGTGCCTTTCCTTTGTCGTGGTCGTCGTTTTCATATAATCGTCCGCTGTTGCCGTTCTCGCTGTCGCCGTCGTTATCATTTTATGATTGCGGTCGTTTTTCTGATTGTTTTTTTGTTGTTGGATTCCGTGTTCGGTTTGTTTTTGTGTTATGTTTGTGGTCGTTTTCTGTCATCGTTTTTTGTCGTAATTTTCGAGATCGTTATTGACGAAGACGACGACGACGACGATGACGACGACGACGATCTGCCGTGCTTCTGTGGCGTCTGCGGTGCTCCTGTGGTCTGCCGGGCTCCTTCTTGGTTTGCCGTGCTCCTGTGTGGTCTGCCGTGCTCCTGTGCGGTCTTCCGTGCTCCTGTGGTCTGCCGTGCTCCTTTGGGGTCTGCCGTGTTCCTGTGGAGTTTGCCGTGCGAACGTGTGGTCTGCCGTGCTCCTGTGTGGTCTGGCGTGCTCCTGTATGGTCTGCCGTGCTCTTGTGTGGTTTGCCGTGCTCCTGTGTGGTCTGCCGTGCTCCCGTGGGGTTTGCCGTGTCCTGTGTGGTCTGCCGTGCTCCTGTGTGGTCTGCCGTGCTCCTGTGTGGTCTGCCGTGTTCCTTCTTGGTCTGCCGTGCTCATGTGCGGTCTGCCGTGCTCCTGTGCGGTCTGCCGTGCGAACGTGTGGACTGCCGTGCTCATTTGGGGTCTGCCTTGCTCCTTTGTGGTTTGCCGCGCTCCTGTGTGGTCTGCCGTGCTCCTGTGTGGTCAGCAGACCAGGGCTGAGGGAAGGCTGGAGCAGTGCTCTGGTGGTCCTTCACCCGCCCAGCTCCGTCCCCTCCCACTCTGGACCGATCTTGCGGGAAGCTGGCTTGTGGCAGCGCATCGCGCGTCGGCCGCCAGCCCAGGCGCCGGCCCGGGCGTTCGGTTCGAGCGCCGGCCTGGGTGCCGGAATCGGCCCGGAAGGGGTTCGTTCCAGGGCGCCGGGAGCAGAAAATCAATATTTTCGAAAGAAAAATATGTCTTGGAGTGGCCTTTTTTCCGCACCGCCTCGGAATTCAATTTTCCGGCGCCGGCCGGCGCCGGAACCGGCCCGGGCGCTGGCCCGGGTGCTGGCCCAGGCGTTCGGCTCGAGCGCCGGCCGGGTGCCGGAAGCGGCCCGGAAGGGTTCCCGGGCGCCGGGAGCAGAAAATCAATATTTTCGAAAGAAAAATATGTCTTGGAGTGGCCTTTTTTCGGCACCGCCTCGGAATTCAATTTTCCGGCGCCGGCCGGCGCCGGAACCGGCCCGGGCGCTGGCCCGGGTGCTGGCCCGGGCGTTTGGCTCGAGCGCCGGCCCGGGTGCCAGAAGCGGCCCGGGATCCCGGGCGCCGGGAGCAGAAAATCAATATTTTCGAAAGGAAAATATGTCTTGGAGTGGCCTTTTTTCGGCACCGCCTCGGAATTCAATTTTCCGGCGCCGGCCGGCGCCGGAAACGGCCCAGGCTGCCGTGCTCCTGTGTGGTCAGCCGTGCTCCTGAGGCGTCTACGGTGCTCTTTTGGGGTCTGCCGTACTCATTTGGGGTCTGCCGTGCTCCTGTGGTCGGCCGTGCTCATTTGGGGTCTGCCGAGCGCCTGTGAGATCTGCCGTGCTCCTGTTGGGGAAACGCCAGCGGCGTTCGGGGTACAACAAAAAGGCGCGTTTATGTTGTACCCGCGCGCGGTCTGCCGTGTTCCTGTGGGTTCCGCCGTGCTCCTGTGGCGTCTGCCGTGCTCCTGTGGCGTTTGCCGGGCTCTGTGGGTCTGCCGTGCTCCTTTGTGGTCTGCCGTGCTCCTGTGGAGTCTGCCGTGCTCCTGTGTGGTCTGCCGTGCTCTTGTGGTCTGCCGTGCTCATTTGGGATTTTCCGTGCGCATGTGGGGTCTGCC